CATTCATCTCTTGAAGGTTTTGTTCTGTCTTTTTGAACTTCTTTTCTATGCTTTTGAGAGTTTGGGTTAGTTCTGTGTTTTGGTCATCGAGCTCTGAGATTCTTTCTTCTGCTTGGCTGATTCTGCTTTCCATGCTTATTAGTCTATTATTCATTTCCATCACAGTATTCTTTACTGCTGTTATTTCTGACATCAGCTCCTTCCTATTTTCCTCTTGTCTCTCCTCAATTTTTTAAATTCTCTCTATTAATGTCTTGATGTCTGAGTTTGTTGCATGTGACCAGTCATTATGGGGGCTCTTCATTGTTTGTGTTCCGGAGTCTGTTTACTCAGTATCTGATCTCCCAGGGGTCTGTGTGAGACCTGTATTCTTCTTTTGGTTTTTCTTCATTTGTGCATTTTTTTCCCCTCCCTACTTTTTTCCTTCCCTCCACGTCACCATCTTCTTTAGTTCTCTTATTCAGGAGTAGAGGGATTGCTTTTACTTCTGTTTGTTAAATCTCCTATTCTTCTTATGTATGCCCTCTTTGTTCAATTCTGGAGTTGCACTGTAGGTTGGGGGTGGTCCTTTTTGCACTTTTGAGGTTTACTTAAGTGGGGAGTTGTGATTCAAAAATCTATCTGTACGTCCTGGTATCCGCTGACAGGTGTATGGATAATCTGAGACCCACTTCCCACTACCTTGGAATCTGTCCGTGCAGTGGGGCTATAGGTTTACTCCCTGAAATAAAATGAGGTTAGCAGAGGGAAGAGAATGGAGCAGATAGTGGGGGGGAGAAGTGGGTGGAGAGAGAGAGGAATAAGGGGGGAAACAGACGAGTGTATCAACAAATGGAGAGAGAGACCTAAACTGAAACAGATAAAAACAATAGACCCCGGCTACAGACTAACCAGCTCCCATACAAAAAATATTAAAACATGCAGTGATGCTAACATACAAGCTAACCAACCATCTTATTGGTGTGCTGTTCCTGTATACAAAGATATGGTTTACAGAGAGGAGAAAAGAGAAGAAAAGGAAGAGAAAAAAAGGAACAAAACAATAGAATTGAGTCATTAAACTAACAGAACCAATTGAGCACACTCTGAGACTTTTCGTTTAGGTCTAATATCCTTTCAGCTCTGATTTCTAGCTGTCTTCTCAAGCTGGTAAATTAGTTCATAGTTGTGGTCAATTGCCCCAGCCTGCTGTGAAGGACAGTTCAAGTCACCCTCTGTTCACCACTCAAATCTGGCCCGTGTGTGTTTTTCAAACTTGTTTTTCCCCTTTCGGTGTTGTTACCTTGAATCGCCAGCAGGTGGTGCTATCTCATGTGCTCGCCCCAGAGTGGGTGGAGCCAGTCCGGAGCCAGGCATAGGCGGGAGATGGAAGCCTGCCTCAGGGCATACGGAGGAGACCCACGGCGGCAGGACGTCAAGTTGGCAGCAGAGGTGGCAGCGATCCCAGTAGATCCTGCCTGCAGGGGCTTCAAGGACTGAAGTCGTGGGTCGCCTGAGGCAAGGTGGCGCAATGCACTATGGCTGCCACGGAGGCCATAGCAGCGCGGTTGGCTGTTGTGTCTGCAGCTGCAGTGGCTGTCCAGACTAACGCCATGCCCAGCAGTGGCAACCGCCGAGCTCCGTGTGAAGAGCAGGCTAAATACGTTGGGATCCGCAGCCCCCAGGGAGAGAGCCACAGACCCTCTGCGCTCTCCTTTGCAGAGGGTCTCCTGTTCTTGTTTTTATATATTTCATTTGTAATTTATTTTTTGGTTAATGTTGTGTTGGAGATTCCAATTTATGTGACCACCGTTATGTAGGCTTGCCATTCTTATTTTGAAGTTACAGATATGGGTTAAAGAAAGGATTTAAGGGTGATTCTAGGATTTTTACTTAAGTAATTGCAGTGATAGAATTGTATCCGTTGAAATGGGGAGGCTGCAAGAGGAGCAGAATTGTAGAGGTAAGTCTTGAGTTGTATTTGAGATTTCTATTAGGTATCTAAATAGCAACTTCAGAGAGGAATTGGATAAATGAACCTGGAATTAAGAAAGAATTCTGAGTTTAAAGTATGAATTCGTGCGTTGTCGACAAATTAGATGGCATTTGTAATCATGGAACTAGGTGAGATCACGTAGAGTTGGTGTGGACAAGGAGAAGATGACTAAGCACAGAACTCTGGGGTACTTCTGTGTTAAGTTAGAAATATGGGGAAGAATCAGCAAGGTAGGCTAATAATTGACCCATGAAGTAGAAGGAAAACAAAAGTCAGGTGTCTGAAAACCAGGTAATTTTTTTAAGGAGAAGGGAGGGATAATGTTGTTAAGTGCTACTGAGTTCAAATAAGATGAAAACTTGGAATTGAGAATTGGATTTAGCAATATGGAAGTCACTGATGACATTGACAAAAGTAGTTTTAAATAAAATTATAATTGGTGATATAATACTTTTAAGTTAGTTGTCAATTTGGAGCCCTTAGCATACGAGCAGAATAAAGAAAACTCAAGCAGAGTGGTCTCTAGCTTCCACTTGTTTTAAAAGAACTGCTATCTTTGACCTAATTTTGTATATTGGGTTTCCATACAGTATTTTGGGGGGGGGGGGGTTGGAGTGACTGGCAGTTAAAGGAGTCTGCTCCTAAGCAAATAAATATGCTAACAGTTAGTTTGTAAACCACCATTAAGTAACTTTTTAAATAAGATATTGTTAAGTGTAAATTTTAAAAATATTTTGCTAAATGGAAAGTTTTTGTTTTAATACAGTTTCTATTATTATTTACTTTAATTCTACTATCAAATACAGTACACTTTGATTAGAATCTGTGTGCTTTTTTAGAGTCTCTTAAAGTGAAGTCAAAGCTTTTCTGGGATCTTATGTATGAATTCAGAATCATTCATTTCTTTAAATCCTTCTGACACTTCCAAGCCAAAGTTCACATATTAGAATCTTTCTGTCCTCAGCATTTATAATGATGCCTAACATGTAATAGATATCTAGTTAGTGTTTGTCAAATTGAAGAAAATGGACCCCATGGGGGAGATTTTGGCTTACCTTATCTCATTTCCTTTCTTGCAGTGCTTTTGCTACCCTCTTTCTTAAGCAGCAGAAAAATAAAAAGAAAAGTAGTCCCTTTGAGAATGTAAAAGCCCTTGAGATAGGTTCACTTTAAGCCTAAAAGATTTCCTGGTCATTTTACCTCTAAAATTTGATTTTCTTTTAAAGATGCTATTTCTGAGCTCCCCCATTTCTGTACTAGAAATGAACCTACATTTAGTGACTTTGCCCAGCATTGCCTTCTTTTCTCTTAAGGAATGAGATGTATTTTTGATGCCTGTGTTGTATCTGGAGAGACAGATGATATAATAGAAGGAGAAATAGGCAACCTATCAAAACTAGGACCAGCTTCTACCACTTTCATTCATCTTTTTAGTAAATAGTTATCAAGCATCTTCTGTGTGCCAGATATTTACGAAAAGTTTGTGTGGGTGTTTTAATTACTATACTTTATTTTTTAGAAATGGTATTTTCACAAATTATTTTCCTTTAGATACTAAGATCTACTTTGTAATGAATTAGTAAATACCTTAGTTAATGAGCCAAAAAAAAATATATAATCAAATATAGGCATTTTAAAAATTGATAATGTTTTCCCTCAAACATTGGAGATTGGTATACTCTGTCACTCAAGGTCAAAAGTAAAACTATGAGCTATTGAGAAGGTGTTAAATGTAGAATATTTACATGCTCTGTACATTTTACAAATCTATTTATTTATTAAGACAGGGTCTTGCTGTGTTGCCCAAGCTGATTTCAAACTCTTGGGCTCAGGCAGTCTTTCTGCCAGAGCCTCTCAAGTAGCTGGGACTGTTTGTTTTTGAATAACCAACTTTTATCAAAGCTGAAATACATACAAAATATTTCAAGTCTATGGTAAAATTTATACAGGTGCAGAAAATGTATCTTTAGTAAACAGACTTTTTCACGTAATTGTACTTTGTTAATGGCATGAATTATGGAATAGCAATATGAATGATATTTGGGACACATCATTAGTTGGCATTCATTTCACATGTATTTTCTGTATTTTCCAAAGAACAGTCTCCTCCAAGTCTTCTTTTGCTCACTCAGTCACCTGTATCCAAGACAAATGGTTACTGATAAGACAAATCACACTGATCTCTAAATCCACTTTTTAAAAATTATTAAATATGTAGGGTTAGGTATACCTAAGTCCACTTTTAATAGAGTCACTATATATTTTTCCTTTGTGGATTTTACATAGATAATTTGTAAATTTTAAATCACTTGCTTGACTTTTTTTTTTTTTTTAAGAGAGATGGAGTCTTGTATTGCCCAGGCTGACCTTAAACTTCTGGGCTCTCAGGATCCTTCTACTTCAGCTTCCCAAGTAGCTGGGACTACAGGTACCTTCCTCCATGCCTATCTTGATCTTTAAGTTTTCTACATGAGAGCATTGACTTTGCATTTGTAGTGTTCTATAGTGCAATTTTTAAAAAAACTAGCATAATTTATATTAAAAAGTATTTCTTTCTTTTTTTTTTTTTTGAGTTGAAGTCTCACTCCATCACCCAGGCTAGAGTCCAGTAGCATGCTCACGGCCACCCCAGCATTGACCTGTTGGGCTCCCGCAATCCTTCCACCTCAGCCTTCTAAGTAGCTGGAACTACAGGTGCATGCTACCACGCCTGTCTAATTTTTGATTTATTGTAGAGACTAGGTCTCGCCGAGTTGCCTGGGCTGATCGTGAACCCACAGGCTCAAGCAATCCACTCGCCACTCACCTCAGCCTCCCAAAGTGCTGGGATTACAGGTTAAGCCACCGAACCTGGCAAAAAAGTATTTCTAACTTAAATATGTTTTTATTCTGATTTTATTAGTTCAGAAACCACATAACAATTAGAAACAGAAAGAGAGAAATTATTGTCATTAAAATTTTTAACCTTGTGTGTCTCTGTGTATATATATGTGTGTAACTTTAAGATACTATTATTTCCTCTCAGATGTGGATTGTCAATGTCAATTTGAACGGGTCTACTACTCATTTGCAGGTAAGACAACTGAGATCTGGAGGGATTATGACTAGCCCAAAGCTCCTAAGAACTAAAGCTGTATTTTCCCAGTATGGTTTAACAAAAATGATCTTCAAAGCGATTTGTGGTATACTACTTTTTATTAGGGCATACCACAAAACATACTAATTGACACTTTTTTACAATTTCATACTAATTGATGCTTTCTTTAATACCATTTTTTTGCATATACATGAGCTTACCACATGTCTGCTACCTTTACAGTTTATTTGTTTTTCTTTGGAGAATAATCTTCTATCAATCAGAATCCAATCAAATTTTATAGCTAGTTCACAAAATTATGACAAAAGCAAGGTTTTATAATTGGAGTATTGACAATACCAACAGCAGTAGTCCAAATACTGTGCTATAACTGTGGCACATGTTTATCAACACAAAGGTTTGGTGACTGCAGTATAGTTTCCAGTCAGTTCCTCTTGTAACTAATTTTTCAAATCTGTCTGGCTCTGTTGTGCAATATTCCTTTAACTCTGTATGATTTCAGTGAGATGTTTTCGTTAGGCTTAATGTCCAATGATAACAATAACTAAGACACTGGAAATATTGTGAAAACAATTAATTAATTAAGCTAGAGGAAAGGAAAATGGGTAAAAGCCAGTGTCATAAGTTATTCACTTGAATAACAATTTGTCTAGTTCAAATAAAGGATGATGAAGAAGCTGTTGAAATTCGAATTAAACACCTTTTTTGAGTTCTGTTTGATAACATACCTTTAATCATAAATTGGAAGGTAAGTCATGATAACATTTCAACATGACATTAGATTTCATTAGAAACTAAAAGAATTAAGCAAAATTTATTACTAATAATATTATATTTTTCCTTTTTGAATTATTTTAAAGGTCACCATTTTTCACCCATTAACAAATAAAAATTTTTCAGGATCTCCCTTTTCATTCTTACCTTTAATGTACTTGGATTCCCTTCTTTTTATATTTCTTTTGTATATGTTTATGAAAGAACAAAAATTTTAAGCTGCGTAAAATAGCTGCCTCTAAATGTGGTGTTACCATCTTGGAGAAAGGTTTACTCTCCTAAATTTTGGTTCTTTGACCACCTTCCAGCTGTCCGATTAAATTATTGGCAACCAAGTACTTAGTTTGAAGCAGAAACTAATTTGAAGAATAAAGATGAAGAAATCATTGTCATTAACATTCTTAAACTTGTGTGTCACTGTATATTTATGTGTGAAGCTTAAAATACCGTAATTTCCTCCCAGATATATATCCTATAAAACAGGTTTTCAGTGTGTTGAGAGCAAATAAAATTTTATAAGCCTATTTCACATATTTATTAAAGAAAAAGAATTTGTTGCCTCCTAGCCAACAAGTAGTACCAACCTATGTCTTTTCTTTTACGGGATAGGAAACAAATTTTTAAACCATAGGAGTCTCAAAAAATGTGTCTGGGCCAGGTTTGGAGGCAGGAAAATTAAATTTGTAGCCGCTGTTTAAAATGTCTAGAAGCTAATGTATTCAGGAACATTTTGGACAACTCTAAACTTGCATGAATAAAAAAAATCTAGATCTTTAATTTTGGTAATGGTAATTGTAATTGGTAACATTGGCAATGTCCTTTGAAAAGCATACTGAGGGAACAAAAAATTTTAATAATCAATTTCATTTTTTTTCTTTCTAGTATGTATTATAGAGGATTTTAAATGATATCTGGTTTTGAAAATTATGAAATAAGGTATGTGAAAACCCCCAATTGTTTCAGCAATAAGAAATAATTGGTGTTTGGGAGCTATAGTAGCTTCATGACCTTTAACAACATTATTTTTCTTTAATATGTAGAATAGGCTTATAAAATTTCATTTGCTCTCAATATGCTGAAAACCTATTTTTATCCTATTGATAGGCAAGAATGTTGGAATTGGAGACTCACCTAACAAAGACTTTGGCTATTAATGAGTAAAATGTTGCAGAAGTTTCAGTCATGTGCTCCCTCCAAAGCGAAAGATATTGTGACACACCTCTAATATGCTATCAAGTACAAACCACGTACCATGTTTGAGAAAGTGAAATTTGAACGCTTTGAAGCTACATTTTCTAATGTAGCAGATTGTATGTATTTCAAATCCTAGCAGACTGATGAAAGTAGAATGGAAATAATGACAAGTTACCTCAGAGGGATAAGGAGCATAAAGGGATCCAAATATATTTTCCATAGAGCAGTCTTCCCACTAGATATTAATGTAGGTTGATGAGATAATTTTAAAATGCAAATACCCCTTGGAAGGAGTGATAGTTAATTCATACTTTGATCTGCATTCATCATTAAGGATAACAATATCAAGTTAAGATTGGGAGTTGTTTTAGAAGGTTAAGAAGAGAGCGGCTCTTCTTCCTGCTTATTTGTGAGACTTATTTCTATGATGTGGGAGACTTTTAAGATATAGGAGGAATGAAGAGCCATAAAGGGGGGGAGATATTTGGAAATTGAAGTAGAATGGTCAAAGATAGACCTTGCAGTTTTGTTCAGAGTCCTGGTAGCATGTTCCTGAAAATCGCCTTTCTTTTTGGCAGCACAGTCTTCTATATGTCCTTACAGAATCTCAGGCCCCACCCCAGACCTACTGAATCAGAATATTTATTTTCTCGAGACCCACAGGCAATTCACATGTACATTAAAGTTTGAGAAGCACTGCTCTAAGTGACTGGTATCATAGTTAAGCAATTGTAGTTAGTTTAGAGTGCATCCCTTCTGCACTTTATTTTGATCTTTCCAGTCCAGGCTACTTCAGTCTCTTATGTTTTTGCTTATTGGTATGTATCAGATACCTGTAGAGAAATGGAAAGAAAGAAGAGAAGAAGATATGCTAAGGAATATACTACCTAAAAGAGGATAGTGGAATGTCAGATTTTTTTCATCACCTGTCTTTAGAAGATGATCATATGGTAAAAGATTTTTTTATGTACAACTCTTCAGAAGATGTTCCCTGTGAGTTCAGAGGGCCTCTCATATAAGAAAGTGGAATTCTTATTATGTCTTGTAAATATATAGTAGTATTCTCATAGTACTAAATACTGGTGTTATAGTGTATTTGCAAGGGCTGACACCTTCCATTCAGATGACTATTCTGCTGCTTACAAGTGTTCTGTCTGTGGCTGATGTGAGGAAAGAAGCCGACTTCTAATATTTCATTAGTAAATTCCAAGCAGTATCTAATTCTAATGGTATCTTTGGCTGCTTCCCTTCCTCCTAAAGTAAAAATGATGGCTATTTCCATGATTATACCACACTTTAAAACTTCTGATCCCTCTGCTTACCTCTTAATGTCATTGTATCATGAGTTGTAAATAAATCCATTAATGGTGTTCAATGTTGAGAACAATGACAAGTTATGGGCTTGGTATATTAGGGCTAATTTATGATTTCAACTAATAGATGATTCGTGAGAATAAAGTAACAATTCCTATGACTTTTCTGCCATTAAACTATCTTAGAATTTATTCTTACAAGTAGCTTCAAAAAACATATTTGGAACTAACATGAAGCAGTATTTTACCTCTTCTTTTATTTGCCCATTTCTATGTTACTAGTTTCTGAATCCAGAGAACATGAGTCATTTTCAGCCAACACATCAGCATTCACACAACTTACAATAACATCTTTGCAACAAAGCCCTATAAAAAAGAGAAAATATTTGCAAATCCTATACTAAGGGTCTGTTATCCACAATATATAAAGAACTCTTACAACCCAGTGATGAAAAGACTAATAACTAAATCTTAAATTGGATGATGGTCTTAAATAGACATCTCTCCAAATAAGATACACAAATGATCAAAAAGCCCATGAAAGGATGTTCAACACCATTAGTCATTAGAGACATACAAATAAAAAAAGATACCACTTCATACCCACTATGATAACTATGAAAGTAATAATAAGTGATAGCAAGGATATGGATAAATTAGAGCCCGCAGCGTTACTGGTGGGAATGTAAAATGGTGGAGTTGCTATGAAAACAGTTTGCTGGCTCCTCAAAAAGTTAAGCATAGAATTACCATGTGAACCTACAATTCCACTCAAAGATATATGTTCAAAAGAATTGAAACAGGTACTCAATCAAATGCCTATGTGAATGTTTATAGATGCACTATTCACAATAGCCAAAAGGCAGAAACAACCTAAGTGTCTATTGACGGATGAATGCATAAATAAAATGTGGTGTATACATACAATAGAATATTACTCAGCCATAAAAAAGAATGAGGTACTTATTTATACATGCTGTAGCATGCATGATCCTGTCAATATGCTATGCTAAGAAGGCAGACACAAAAGGCACATATTGTATGATTCTACTTATATGAATTGTCCAGGATAGGTAAATTCATTGATACAGAAACAAATTGCCAGAGTTAAGGGGAAGGATGAACAAGGAGAGGTTGTTTAATGGTTACAGAGTATTCTTTTGGAGTGATGAAACTATTTTAGAACTAGATAGAGGAGGTGGTTCTGAACATTGTGAACATACTAAATGGCACTGAGTTGTATACTTTAAAATAGTAAATTTTGTTCTGTGAATTTTACATCAATTAAGAAAAATAGTGAATTACACCAGTACATGGGGTTAATGTCAATATTAGTGTCTTCAAATACATTATATTTTGGAGAACATTTGCTATGGAATCAGAGTACTTTATTATGGAATTTAGAGAAAGGTCTCAAAAAATTAAGTGTCCTATTATTTTGCTTTGTTGTATGGCTTGGTTTTTGTTATTTGTGTCTGTCTTTCACCTTTTACAAAGTAGAAAAGCAAACAATATTTGCTTTTGAAAAAATTTTCTTTTTTGTCTGCAATTTGCATAATGATTTTTGATGGACAAAATAAAATGTTAGAAGATAGTATAATAGAGAAATTAGAATTGTTGTAATTGAAAGCATACTAATCATCGGCCCAACAAACAAGATGAACAAGGGAATTAAAAAAACTTTAAGTCTTTGGA